CCACATAACAACACTCTGGCCTCTATACGAATTTGATGGTGACACTGCAGAGATGCATTCTCTTTCCTCAAGAGCATTAGACTGCTTAACTAACCTTGAACTGAACTTATAATCGATGCTCAAAGCCAGCCATACGAAAGAAGAATGTCATTCTTTGGCAGCTCATGAAATCTCCTTTCCAACAAGATAGTCTTTTTAGCTGCCGTCACAGGCATGGCAAATCTCCATGCTGATATACTAGGGGATTACCATACACATCTGTTTATAGAGGCAGGGTAAGATGAAATTGCTTCACCAATTTATAGCCAAGGTAATCTCAGAAGTTCCTCAGAATCACTCCTTACCTTTCTTGTCATTTTCCTGAACTCACATTATTTTCTGACAGAAAAGAAGCTTCATACTCCTGGATACCTTCAGAGTCTAACCCCTTCAACTAAACCTTTAGGCTGTCTTCCCATCTCTTTGTTTTTCTCCCTGTGCTTAATGCTGTGAAAGGTTAACTGAGTTTGTTTTTGCAGTGGATCAAACAATATGTTTCTCATGCTATAAGCTGACTGGTTGATTGGCAAGCATTTTCCTTTGGCTGGTAAGGCAAGTTCCACTGAGAGACAGATGATGTTTCTGGCACATTTTGAAGCAGGCTGATCTCTGAGCTCTGCAAGAGGGCCATATGGAATAATTCACTAATCTTTGTTAAACATTACGCATTTCAGATGGTACTTGGGGTAGCCACCATATACATGGGCGACTGGTGCCTCCTGAATCTGGGGGGCACTCACGGATACTACCGGTGGAGTTGGCGGTGGGGATGGATCTGGCAAGCACCCCCAGATGCCATTGGTGGCAGCAGGGGCGGAGCTGGCGAGCACCCGCAGGTGGTGGCGGTGGCGAGGACGCCCCTGTCAGGGGGGCATGTGCCCCCTGTACCCCTCCCTACCAGTTGCCTATGACCATATATATAGTAGTAATATGATCTTGGTTTGATACAGCCAAGGCTCCATCCCCAGAGTTTCAAGAGAAAATTGCTTGTCAATCACCTTTTGTGGAATCCACGTAGATTTATCATGAAAAAAAAAATGATTTACTTACTTTGCATTAACTGGTTCTTTGCAATATCCTCATGGATCTCATTACCTTCCTGCCAACCTTCATTTTTAGAGTTCTTAGCAGCATAGGCTTCTGAATAGCAAGGGAATGGAGGCTGGGTCACAGTTACCAGTGGCAATGCGTAGGGGGTGCATGTTCACCCCCTGAGAATGCTGGTGCACCCCATCAGCCAGCATTCCTGGGCAGGGGGCAGGCAAGAGCACTGGTGCCACCCCTGAGAGCACTGGCCGGGGAGTGGGGGCTCACCCAGAAGTCACCTGGGATCAGCCACAGGGGGACCCACCCTGGGTCTAGCCACTGGGGGGGGGGGGGAAAGGGCCCCCCCGACTCAAGAAGCACCAGTCACCCATGACAGTTACTGCAGCCTTTATGTCCTTGCATGTATCTAGTCTCTCATACATGTAATGTATGTGCATCTACAGTGAAGAAGGCTAACTTTATTATAAAGACTATTAATCTTGAAGAACTACAGTTACCTTGAAGGCCAGTTATACTTGTTATCCTAGCATGTGGTATGTTTCTGGAGAAATGTATCATCCTAGTTCCCTAAAAGGAAGCCCAAGCCCAAGACTTCCAAGTCTATCATTTAATCAGTACATTCCCTCAGAACGGAAAATACATTGTTGAGGAGCTGTTCACATCTTTCACTAGCTAGGTAGAAGGTACTGTTGTGTCTGCAATATTGGTTAAGGCCATCATTTAAATGAGACATTTTCAGCCTCATGATGCAGGATTAACAAAAATAATTATTTCTTTTAACCATTATGATGTGGTTATCAGTTGTACTAATCTGATGAGGTGATGTAAAACATTATTCTTAAACCACTGATCTGTTCAATCAAATCTCACTTTTTACTACTGTAGATTTGATATATGCACTGCTTCATTATTAATCATAATAGTGCAATTATAAAGTCTAACTCTAGTTATCTGTTTAATTTTATATCTCCTTTCTTATTCTTTTGAATAAAAATATATTAAAATGTACACAAAATAAGTTCATTCTTTCAGTTTGCAACATGAACCCGGAATTCCAAAAACAGAGACAGCTTGACTCAGATATTTCACAGCCCCTTGATCATCTTTCTAAATTAAAAACATTGCACCACAGACTTTGGAATAAAGTCATTGGATATTTTTTTTTAATTAAAAAAGCAATTGGTTAAATTCTATTCTTATTCAGTAGAATCCAGATCATCTACACCTGTGTGATTCAGATCTGCTTAATTCACAGCAGGTTGCTGATTGAAGAAGAAGCTGTTCAGCTATTTACCACAGTTTTTATTTCAAAGGGCAATATTTATCCAATCAGCTGGAGTTCATTAGCAGTCCTGCTATCAGAGAACTGGTGTCTTTTGTAATGAAAAGCTACAGCAAACATTTAGAGCCCCTCTTCCATCCCATGCAGCTATTTGTTGTGGGTTTATATACCCCCAGACATTTCACAAGCCCTTATTTTCATGGAGAGGATGGCAGAAGGAAGATTTTGAATGTAACTCGGCAAAATATCTGGGTTCTATTGTACCCATATAACTCCAGTGAAATTAATATCATTTTGCAGGTGAAAGGAACAGCACAACTTGATGAAAGTATTTTCAGAAAAGCATTTCATTTAAGTTTCTCAAACCATATACTAAGTGCATTTTAAAAGAAAACAACAAGAAGTAAACGTGAATTACCCCAAGAACCCAAGTGTTTCTTTAATCTTAAAAAACAATTCCTACAGCAGAAATGTGGGCATGAATATATATCATAAAATTTTCTAGTGAGAAAGTTTTCCTAATATCTAACCTAAACTTACCTTGCTACAACTTGAGACTGATGTACTGTAATTATACTCTGCCAGACTTCAGCATCATGTGTATCAGTGTTCCTGTGCTGAAAAATGGCAGCAGGAGTGGTTTAACTAAAGCTCATTGAAGCACCCCTGCTGCCATTTTCAGTGCAGGGACACTGATGCACGTGACACTCCAGGCACTTTAATTAAAGTGGCTCTTGAAGCCGCTCTAATTAAAATGCCCCCTTCCCCCACTCCTGGAGCATTTGTATAAATGCCCAGTAAACCCAGTTCCCTTAGCCTCTCCTCATAAGTCCCAGCCCCCTCACCATTTTTGTTGCTCTCTGCTAGACTTTCTCCAATTTGTCCACATCCTTTCTATAGTGAGGGGTCCAAAACTAGGCACAGTACTCCAGATGCAGTCTCACCAGTGCTGAATAGAAGGGAATAATCACTTCCCTCAATCTGCTGGCAATGCTACAGATGCAGCCCAGTATGCCGTTAGCCTTTTTCACAACAAGGGCACACTCTTGGCTCATATTTAGCTTATTGTCCACTGTAACCCCCGGGTCTTTTTCTGCAGAGCATCTGCTTAGCCAGTTGGTCCCCAGCCTGTATTGGTACATAGGATTGTTCCATTCTAAGTGCAGGACTTTGCACTTGTCCTTATTGAAACTCATGCAGTTTCTTTTGGTTCAATCCTCCAATTAGTCAAGGTCTCTCTCAAGGCCCTACCCTACTCCATATCTACTCCCCCCAGCTTGGTGTCATCTGCAAATTTCCTGAGGTTGCACTCTATCCCATCATCCAGGTCATTGATGAAGATATTGAACTAAAACAACCTGGACTGACTGTTGGGGCACTCCACTTGATACCAGCTGCCAACTAGACATCAAGCCATTGACTACTACCCTCTGGGCCCAATGATCCAGCCAGTTTTCTATCCACCTTACAGGGTATTCATCTAACCAATACTTCCTTAGCTTACTTGCAAGATTGGTGAGGGAGACCATATCAAAAGTCTTGCTAAAGTTAAGGTATCACATCCACTGCTCTTCCCACATCCACAGAGACGGTCATCTCAACATAGAAGGCAATCACCTTGGTCAGACATAACTTGCTCTTGGTGAATCCATGCTGACTTCTTAATCACCTTCTCCTCCAAGTGCTTAGAACTGGATTCTTTGAGGACCTGCTTCATGATTTTGTAGGGACTGATATGAGGATGGCCACTCTGTAGCTCTTTGGATCCTTCTTCTTCCCTTTTTCAAAGATGGGCACTATATTTTCCCCTTTCCAGTCCCCTGAGACCTCTTCCAACAATCATGGGTTTTCAAAGATGGTGGCCAGTGGCACTGCAATCACATCAGACAACTCCCTCAGCATCCTGTCTGTCCCGACGGACTTGTACACATCCAGCTTTTCTAAATAGTCCCTAACCTGTTTTTCTTGCCACTGTTGGCTGCTCACCTCCTCCCCAAACTGTGCTGCCGGGTGCACTAGTCTGGGAGCTGACCTTGCCTGTGAAGACTGAGGTCAAAAAGGCATTGAGTACTTCAGCCTTTTCTGCATCCTCTGTCACTAGGTTGCTTTCCTCATTTAGTAAAGAACTCACACTTCCCCTGATCCTCCTCTTGTTGCTGACATACTTGTAAAAACCCTTCTTGTCACCTTTCACATGCCTTGCTAGCTGTAACTCCAGGTGTGCTTTGGCCTTCCTGGTTTCATCCTTACATGCCCAAGCAATGCACTTGGACTCCTCCCTAGTTGTTTGTCCAAGTTTCTATTTCTTTTAAGCTTACTTTTTGTGTATAAGCTTACTGAAGAGTTCCCTGCTCAGCCAAGCTGTTCTTCTGTTAAACTTGCTATAGTGTCTGTACTTAGTCTATAATGTGCAAATCTACCTTGCCTTCTGCCTGACTTCAGACTCATATGGTTAACTACGTATCTCTGGTTTTACAGGTGATTTGTTCAAATTTTGAGGAAATGTACATAATACCTTTTGGCTTTTGTATCAAGCCAGTGCAGTTTCATTAATAAACTAACACAAAAACTTAAGAAAAAACTTTCAAACAAATTGAAAATAATCCAGTCTTGCTTTTACATTTTCTCACAGTATACTAGATCCAAGGAAGAAACTCTTCCAAAATATTTTCGTCTTGAACAGCTGCAAAAAGAATTTAACTTTGTTACTGAAAAAGAGATTAAAAATTGTAAACGTTTCCAGCTGTTGCAGCTTAGGAACTCAGGGCAACTAGATTCCTGCTATTGTTGGCAGATACCTCTGTTTGATAGAGAAATACCAGATACAGTCTTCCAGGTAATGAATATTTCTGCTATTATTTTTGTTTCAAGTTATGTGATAAACAGTATGGATATTAATTTTTCCTTATTTTTTCACAATATCTGAATCCAATGTTCTTGTTATTATATGATGTCATGTGGAATTAATCATGTGGAGACATGTAATATATCATGTGACAATCTCCAGATTGATATCCTTACTCATAATAAATAATATTTTAGGCCAGGTACAGACTTTATGCTTTTATTGGTATAAGTGATTGGAAACCAGTCGAATACCTGTAACAGAACTGAAGTTTGGGACACAGAATAGGGTGAAGTGCCTGAAAATTGGAAGAAGGCCAATGTGGTGCTTATCTTCAAAAAAGGAAGGAAAGTGGATCCAGCAAACCCATCAGCCTGACCTCTATCCCAGGGAAGGTCTTAGAAAAGATTATCAAACAGGCCATTTTTAACAGACTGGCCGATGGCAACGTCCTGATGGATAGCCAGCACGGGTTTGTTGCGGATAGGTCTTGCTTGACCAATCTTATTTCCTTCTACGACCAGGTGACCTGTCACCTGGACAAGGGAGAAGAGAATGATGTTATATATCTTGACTTTAAAAAAGCCTTCGATTTGGTATCCTATGATCACCTTCTAGCAAAACAGGCTAACTGCAGCCTTGGCCTCACCACGATCCACTGGCTGGGGAATTGGCTCTGTGGTAGGACCCAGAGGGTGGTGGTTGATGGAAGTCAATCATCGTGGTGCCCTGTGACCAGTGGGGTCCCCCAAGGTGCTTGGGCCTATACTATTTAACATATTCATTAATGATGTGGACATTGGTATCAGAAGCGGACTGGCCAAGTTTGCCGATGACACCAAACTCTGGGGTAAAGCATCCACACCTGAGAACAGGAGGGCAATCCAGACTGACCTTGACAGGCTCAGGAAATGGGCAGATGAGAACCTGATGGTGTTTAACACCAAAAAATGCAAGGTTCTCCACCTTGGGAAGAAAAACCTGCAGCATCCTTATAGGCTCGACAGTGCGATGCTGGCTAGCACTATGGATAAAAGGGACTTGGGGGTCATGATTGACCATAAGATGAACATGAGCCTTCAATGTGATACTGCTGCTAGTAAAGCAAGAAAAATGCTGGCTTGCATCCACAGATGCTTCTCAAGCAAATCCCAGGACGTCATTCTCCCGTTGTACTCAGCCTTGATGAGGCTGCAGCTGGAGTACTGTGTCCAGTTTTGGGCTCCGCAATTCAAAACGGATGTGGAGAAACTTGAGAGGGTGCAGAGGAGAGCCACGTGCATGATCAGAGGTCAGGAAAACAGACCTTATGACGAGAGGCTGAGAGCCATAGGACTCTTCAGCCTGGAAAAGTGCAGGCTCGGGGTGATTTGGTGGCCACCTATAAGTTTATCTGGGGTGCTCACCAGGATCTGGGGGAACATTTGTTCACCAGAGCGCCCCAAAGGATGACAAGGTTGAACGGTCACAAACTCCTCCATGACCGTTTCAGGCTGGACATAAGGAAGAAATTCTTTACTGTCTGAGCCCCAAAGGTTTGGAATAGATTGCTGCTGGAGGTAGTTCAAGCACCTACTTTGAACTCCTTCAAGAGACATCTGGATGTTTATCTTGCTGGGATCCTATGATCCCTGCTGACTTCCTGCCCCTGGGGTAGGGGGCTGGACTCAATGATCTTCTGAGGTCCCTTCCAAACCTAATGTCTATGAAAGTCTATGAAATCTATAAGTTCTAGGTTCTCCTTTGAATTGCCAATGCAATATAGAACTCGTTTTTATATTCAATAACAAAAAGAGGGGAGGGAAGAAATGGCCAGGTCCAAAGAAGGATTTACTGGCCTAGGTGCAAAATACTGCCTGGTTTAGCAGCCTTCTCTTGTTGTTTTCTAGAAAACATGTAAGTAGACATATTATAGAGGGAATGGGATATGTGTTAAAGACAATGACCACAGGATGGAAACTGTAATAAAAAAAAATGGCATCATTGATAATATCCAGCTGTCCATGTCTTTTGAAACCTTTAATTAGCTTTTCACATTCACTTTCTTTTTACACATTTTCCTAAAGCAAATTTGTGGCTTCATCTACAGAAACAAAGGAAAATTCTTAACCCCCCCCCAAACTGTTTTGTCTTCCTTTGTCACTTGGACGTTCCATTTGTCTTATTTTCCATTATTTTGTCATCACTCAAACTCTACAACATGGGCTTGTGTAGGCCCCTACACTGTCAACTTGAGTTTTACTGATAACTTCTTGCTTTTATCTTCCTTCATCTGTTTGACTAGCCACCTTGGATTCCAGCTTTCCTGGTTGCATAATATTTTGGCTCATTTTTTTCACACACACAAAGAACTTATTTTTTTACCTCTCAGACTCTTCTGTGAGTTGATCATGGTGCTATTGCTTTTTAAAAAAGCTAAATATATCTTATTTTTTAAGAGTCTGTAGACTTCCTCTATCAGGTATCTAGATTTTTCTTTGTTTTTTAATATAATGTTATAGTTGTCACTTCAAGTATCTTCTCTCTTCCTATTTCTCTTCCTTTGTTTTCCACTCAATTAGCAGTTTTTCTTAGTGCCATAACCCAGTTTCATGACTCATAGTGTAAACAACTTTTACTAGTAGCATAACTGGGGGTGAGAGTTGGGGAGTGATTGGAGCAGTAGCCCTGGGCACCATGTCTGTTGGGCTGCTACCACAGCTGCTGAAGACTGTCCTGTTATATCTTTTCCCCTGTAACTTCTTCTTTTTGAAACAAGTTTGCTTTGTCTCCAAATCTTTGACTCTTGCCCAAACAGATGTCTTTCTGTTCTTGTCATAGTGAATTGCTTGCACTATGAGTCTTAATTTTTCTCTTTGATATACTTAAAATTTTTTTTTTAAATATTTGACTTTGTTAAATGGATGAGAATACAGTCTGTAGTAATCCAGTAAAATGTTATATTCTGAAACGTTTTGTAATTTCATCATCATTTTGAAAAAGTGGAACATCATATTCTTTATTTAAACATTTCTTCTAACTTTATCTTAAAAACGTTGTCAGTGTACGACTATGAAAAAAATACCTTATTCTGTATTCAGGGATATGAAAGCCAACTGAAGACAGAAGTTTCAGTGACAGATGAGGATCCTATTAGTGCACAGAGAATTAGTTCTGCCAACTTTATGAGGAAGGTATGTATGACAAACACTGACATTATCCTGTTGACCATGAGAAATGACAAGCTTTTTCTTTTCATGTATAATGTAAATTTAATGCTTCTGAAAGTGCTTAACATTCAGTATTAGAAAGTGAACAACAGAATACATGAAGCATCAGTATAGATTTCTTTCCTTACCATCAAAGCCTCAAAGCTTTTCTGGAGAAAAAGTGAAGTTTAGTTTTAGCATCTTCTTGATGGTAAGTTTCTTTTTGAGGCTTCTAGTCAGGGAGTCAATTGTGATGGTAGTTTTGTTGAGATAGATATGTGTCCTCAACTGGATCATCCATTAATTTCATAGAGGACACTGAATATCAGATGGATGCTGACTGCTGTTCCCTACTAACAGGAAATCAACCAGTGACATAGAGGAGAGAGACACCATGTTCCATTATCTGTATTGTACTGTTTGCAATAGCAACAGAATGACACTGTATAAGATCCAGACTATGGAGTCAGTCCTATATGGTGCTGATCAGTCAAGTCGCTCAGCAGCTGTTGAAGCAATACTACCCTACATACTTTAAAATTTAAAAGATTGGCATTTTAATAGATATTATAGTTGCTACCATATGGGAGTCCAGTAGTGTTGAGAATTTATACATTTTGGAAACAGAAAAAATGTCACAAGGTGAACTTTAATTTTATTCTTCTCAGCCACTTATAATGGCAGTTTGTCAGCATCCTTGCTTAAGGAGATATGGGTGAAGAATTTGTGCTTTTTGTTCCCACGGGACTTCAAATATCTAACCAAACCACCCAAACTGAGATTAAGAAGAGGTAATGTGCCCCACAGAATTGTCTCTGCCTCACTTCCTCTCCGCCCCCCCCCAAAGATATGTGGCTCTCTAAGAGCACACTAGGCCAGATAAAGCCCATGGGCCATACATTTGACACTTCTGCTCTAATGTGGCCTCCTTAACCTGCCTTACTTACTCTTTGCACAAAAAAAAGAATAGCTATAACTTTGTTCCCTATTTCATTCCAGCCGTGATAAGTGCAGCATAAGCAGCCTTGTGCAAACTAGCTAGCAGAAATCATACCCTAGTCAGATCTCAGGCTCTATAGCATAGAGGACTATAATGGAAAGACCATGTCTTTCATTTTTGAGATACTATCTTTTATTAAAAAATGCAAGTATTATTTTTGCAGATGAGAAAACAAACTATAAAGCAACTTGTCAAAATTAAGCACAGGTGTAATTTATCAGATATTGTGAGGGATTATGAAGAAATTATATCTATGAGGTAAGTACTTAATATTTAAGTCAGAAGAGTCTGAATTTGCATTGCTAAGTATATTGCTTTATTAATGTAAACTTTTAATTCATATGTTTTATAATACTTTTCATTTTTAGAATGGTAGATAAGGATTTAGTTATAGGACTCTTCCTCACTTTAATAGGTGTGGCTAGTCTTGAAAGTCTATGGAACATGTTAGGGTTTGTTTGTTTTTTAAATTGAACAAGGTGTTCCCATGGGGGAAGGGGAGGATGAGTGGGTTTTGAGGAGAGGGATGTATGACTTGGAAGGAACAATAAAGGAGGAATAATCTCCTGGATCTGAGGCAGGGAGTAGGAGTGAGTAGGGATGAGAGGAAAGACTGGCTGGGAGGTGGGGTGGTGTTGGAATTTGTTGCTTTCTTTAACAGAATTATTAAATATGGATTAGGATTTGGTTAGGCTAGGTTGGGTATGGGTAGATGCTCTTCTTGATCAGAGGCAGGGAAGTGAAAGGGTGTGAACTGTTTTTGAATTTCTGAGTTTAGGGGAGAGTTCATCTTCTTTTACCTTCTTATTTTAACATTTTAATAATATCTGTTTTTATAATATTTTGTCTTTTATAGTAGACTGCCATGAGTCTTTTCTGGGAAGGGCAGCATAGGAATCAAATCAGTAAAATCAATAATAAAGTGAATTCTTATGGTGTGAAATTCTGGACTTCTAATGTGTCAGAAAGAGAACAGATTTGCTATTTTTTAAATATATCCATGGTTTTATTTTGAAAACGTTCTCCCTTTAATATTTTGCAAACCTGCTAATCTTGCTTTTGCACAGGGATAGGCAGGTTATCATCAAATGCCCCATTTGGGAAGTACTATTTTCAGTTTAGTTTTTAGATTACATCCTTAAAGTCATGTATAACATAATTGAAAGATTGGTCCTTATGAATGAGCAATATGGGTATTTATTTTTATGAAATATAATTATCTAGGAGATGTGAAAGTAAAAATAACCTTTCAGGACTTTCTTTAGTTTAGGATATTTCCAGTTGCATATTTTCTTGCAATTTCAGGGGGAATTTAGATTTTACTGAAAGCTCTGGCTCTATCCCTACTTCTATACTAGGTTCTTTGATGGTCATAGTGAAAAAAAGAGCAGATCTAGAGTCAACAATGAGCAAAGTAATTTTTTAAAATTTTCTTTGAGTGAATGCTTTTATATGCTTTCTGTGCTAGGTACACATGCACCACATGGATGGAAGAATGGACACACATCCTAGCAATACTCATGCTTTGTCTTGTTAAGCAAGCCTGTTAGTCTGAGATGGGGTGCTTTAGTGTCCACTCTCTATTAGAAACTTTTAAATGGTTTAGTTTATATATATAATCAATATGTGTGGGAGTAAGAAATTATGATTTAACTCTAATTTTAGTTAGTGAGGGTGGTACATGGTGAGGGGATATTGCCAGTATTTAGACCCATGTCCCTATAAGTTCCCGTATCTCACCAGGAAGTCTAATATCTCCCATAGGAGTGCCTGTGCCCAACTCTTTTCTCAAATAATTACATTTTTCCTAATGTTGTAATCTTTCCTAGGGCCTGACTAGCTCAGTCAGCAGAGCATGAAACTCTTAATAATTTCAGGGTCACGGGGTGTGTTTCTTCTCTTCCCTGTCTCTGCTTCAGGGGCTGGACCTGATGATCTGTAAGGTCTCTTCCAGCCCCTAACAACAACTATGTCCCTCTCTGCTTTGAACGTCATCAACAGTATAATCCTCTTGAGTGCTACATACTGTCTCTTCCCTCTGAGATCATCTGGGTTCGGTTTATACAGGCCCTGCATTACTCCCTATCCTAACAGAGTCTAAGAATGGTTAATTGGAGCCAGCTGCTCAACCTTTCCTCCTCTACTCGGTCCCAGTGCTGTAGTAAGGGAGGTGACTGCCCAGGTACAGAAGCAAAGGGGTGACAACAGGTGCTGCCCAGCTGGGGTGGGGCGCAGGATGGAGTTGCAAGTGGCTCATTTGGCGGGGTGGGGGGAGGGTGGCTTCTACTGCTGCATGCACTGGACAAGTGTTGGGGGGTGCCCCTCAGATCTGTGTGCAGGGTATGAGGGTGGGTTGTTGTTGTGGGCTTTGCCCTGGGTGCCAAACTTTGTTGCTATGACATTGCCCTGTCCCACTACATTTCACATAATTCAGTGTCATACACTTTAAGAATATAAATTTGGGAGCTTCCAAGACCAGTTAACTAGTTAGATTAAATTATGGGATCAGAATATATTCAACACATTCCACAATGGCATCCTGGTCAAAGAGAGGAAATCATCAAAGCTGTCACCTCTTCATTGACCACTTCAAGCACTGCAAACTTAAGCACCTTTCCATTTATAGCAACATCCTTTGGCAGGAAGGTGCTAAACCATTATTACAAAATGGATCAGTGTAACTAATTTTAGGAAAGGGTAACAATTGTATTTCTGTTTTCTTATTAATCTATCTAGGAAGGATTTTATATTGTGTACTTCGTTGTCATTTCTAATTGCTTTCCAAATAAAGTAGAGTTGCAGGTTAATGACAATTGTAACAGATTCAGTGGATTCTTCTATGGAAGAGTCAGTCACAGAAGGGAAATTTTCATTTAATAAATTTTCCATTTTTCTTAATGAATATACAATATAGGAAAATATGCATATATAAAGCTGATTAAACATATTCAAACTTATCTAGCCAATTGAAGAATGCAGTTTTTAAGCTAGGTGAACGTAGAAGACATTTAAAACCACAGAGAAAAGAGAGAAGAAAAGTTCCTGCACAGGTTGTCTCAGATGGAGATGTTAAGCTTCTTGTTAGAATATTGAGCGCTTACAACATTCCTTCAAGAAATCCAGCAGTTACTAGGTAAGAGACTGTGGCAGGTCATTGCGGGTGCCTGCCACTTTAAGGGCCTGGAGCTGGCAGCTGCCAGGTGTCTGATGAGGGCAGCCATTTTGAATCTGGGGCTGCTCATATAAACAGGGCAGTTTTGCTGCTGGAGGCCAGGCAACAACATCGCCTGGCTGGAGGGCTGCTGGTATCATCTGGAGGCAAGGGAGGAGCTGTAGGGTATGGTCAGGAGGTTCCTGTCCTGAGCATGAAATAAAACTGCACCCTGCCGGGAGTGGGTGGCCTGGTGGGGCTCCCAGGGGCATGGGAACCCCCAGGAAATACCAGGCCAGTTACCATCTCAGTGAAAGGGGGGTCAGGGCACCTTAACCTCTAGCCCCCACAACTGGGTGGGTTACCCCTTTGTAGGGTCTGGAGGGTGGACCCCCAGAGAACGAGAGTGAGGCCATAGACTCACGGTTGTCTGGACTTTGCCTGACTGGTCAATGTTGGGACCAGGACTGGAAGGGTCAAAGGGCCCAGGGGCCCACTGCGAGGAACGCCCAAGAGCTGCACGCCTGGGGTTCTGACTGTCCTGGAGGTGGGCCAGGGCCAGTAGAGCTAAAGGTCTCTGGGGGAGCACACCCAGAAGGGGAAGCAGTTCAGGGAGCTATGCTGCCCAGGATGAAGGCGGATTAGGCCACCAGAATGGAGGGATCATAGAGGGGTTCAACACTAAGATTATGGGGCCCAGCGTGGGGCCGGTGATTGTGAGAACATCTGGATGCCATCTGCGAGGCTTGGGCTGCGGTGTAGGGGAGGAACGGAGCCGCAGATAGCGCCCTGTGGCACCGGGGCAAGAAATGGGCAGCCTCCCGCTTATTAAGATCAATTAAACTATTAATAACAACGCGTGGCGGGTGAGAAGGCAGGTGGTTAGCCCAGAAACAGGTGGGCAGGCCACTGGGAAGTCGGCTCCGAGAGGTCCCCCTGTTACAGAGACCTACAACAGAAATCAGGAATGGTAAAGACTAAGGTAACTTAGTTACATTATTCATGAGAGTCCAGGATTGTACCCATATGCATTTTGTACACATATTCTGTGGTGTTGTATGAAGTGAAGGGTAGGCGTGTTGAAAGCCTCCGGCTAAACGTCAGAGGGGAGAACAGCGGGAGGGATGTCATGGTGGGTGTCTTCTACAGGCCACCAAATCAGGAGAAGGAGGTGGACAAGGCCTTCTTTAGCCAACTGACAAAAGCTTCCAAATTCCAGGACTTGGTTCTTAATGGGGAATTCTGCTGGGAGGGGGAAAAAAGTGCACAAACAGTCCAGCAAATAATTGGAGTGTACAGGGGATAACTTTTTGACAAAGATGATGGAGAGGCCAACTAAGGCGAAGCTCTTCTTACTGCTCACAAACAAGGAGGAATTGGTTGCAAATGTGAAGGTGGAAGGTAACTTGTGTGACAGCGACTATGAAATGATAGTTCAGGATCTTAAGGGGAGGCAGGAAGGAGAGTAGCAGAATAAGAACATAAAACACAATAAAAAGGGATTCTACAGGTATGTCAAAAACAAGAGGAAGACCAGAGAAATCATAGGTTCCTTAGACTGTGGGAGGCAATCCAATTATGGATGATGCAAAGAAGGCTATAATATTAATGTCTTTTTTACTTCGGTCTTCAGAAATAATGGCAGTTACTAGATGACAACTCTAGTTGGTAGCAAAGAGAAGGAAGGAGACAAACAGCCTAGAGTAGTAGAAGAACAGATTAAGGATTACTTAGTGAAGCTAGATACTTTCAAGTTAGCACAGCCAGATGGGATGCATCCTTGGGTACTGAAGGAATTGACTGAGCTAATTTCAGAGCCATTGGCTCTGCTCTTTGATAAATTTTGGAGGATGGGTGAAGTCCCAGGTGAAAATATAGTGCCCATGTTTTATAAAGGGAAGAAAGAAGATCCAAGGAATCACAGACCAGTCAGCCTGACCTCTATACTTGCAAAGTTAATGGAGCAAGTTCTCAGGGAATATATTTTGAAGTACTCAGAGGAGAACAAGGTGCTCAGGAACAGCCAGCATGGATCCACCAAGATCCAAGTCATGCCTGACAAACTGATTTCCTTATATGAGAAGTTAAAAGACTCTGTAGATGAAGG